AATATTTCTACTTTTATGAAAACAAGCAGAGATGAGTTTTAAAATCGAGAGATGTGAGTCCTCCAACTTCATTCTTTTTCAAGATTATTTTACCTATTCTTGCTCTCTTATATTCCCATATGAATTTTAGGATGGTTTTGTCAATGAGTACAAAGAAGCAAGCTGAGATTCTGGTTAGATCTTTAATTTTTTTCACCAATGTTTTGTAGTTTTCAAAGTATGTCTTGTGCTTCTTTTGTGAAATTTACTCCCAAGTACTTTATTCTTTTAGATACTATCATAAATGGAAGTGCTTTTCAGTTTATTCATTGCTAATATATGGAATACAATTGACTTTTTAAAAGATTTATTTTTTTATTTTACTTATTTTGGCACGTTGGGTCTTAGTTGCGGCACGCGGGATCTTCGTTGAGGAATGCGGGATCTTTCATTGTGGTGTGTGGGTTTCTCTCTAGTTGTGGTGTGCAGGCTTCAGGGCACGTGGGCTCTGTAGTCTGTGGCACACAGGCTCTCTAGTTGAGGCGTGAGAGCTCAGTAGTTGTGGCGCGCGGTCTTAGTTGCTCCATGGCATGTGGGATCTTAGTTCCCTGACCAGGGATCGAATCTGCATCCCTTGCATTGTAAGGTGGATTCTTCACCACTGAACCACCAGGGAAGTCCCACAATTGACTTTTTTTTTTTTAAGTTTCTTTTTCTTTTTAATTTTTATTCACTTTTGGCTCTTTTGGGTCTTCCTTGCTGCACGTGGGTCTTCCTTGCTGCACGTGGGCTTTCCTCCAGTTGTGTCAAGTGGGGGCTACTCTTCGTTGCGGTGTGCGGGCTTCTCATTGCGGTGGCTTCTCTTGTTGTGGAGCACAGGCTCTAGGTGCATGGGCTTCAGTAGTTGTGGCACACAGGCTCAGTTGTTGTGGCTCATGGGCTCTAGAGCACAGGCTCAGTAGTTGTGGAGCACAGGCTTAGTTGCTCTGAGGCATGTGGGATCTTCTGGGACCGGGGCACGAACCCGTGTCCCCTGCATCGGCAGGCAGACTCTCAACCACTGCGCCACCAGGGAAGCCCCCAAGTTTTTTATTTTGATGTGGACCATTTTTAAAGTCTTATTGAATTTGTTACAATATTGCTTCTGTTTTATGTTTTGGTCTTTTGGCCGCAAGGCATGTGGGACCCTAGCTCCCCAACCAGGGATCGAACCCACACCCTCTGCATTGGAAGGCGACGTCTTAACCACTGGACCACCAGGGAAGTCCCTCAATAGCTTTTTTCGTGGATTCCTTAAGATTTTCCATATATACAAGATCATATCATCTGTGAAGAGATAACTTTTTCCTTTCCAATCTGGATGACTTTTATTTCTTTTTCTTGCCTAATTGCCCTTACTAGAAGCTCCAGTACAATGTTAAATAAAAGTGGCAACAGTAGACATCCTCATGTTGTTCCGGATCTCAGGAGTGAGTATTCTTTTACTGTTAAGTATATTAGCTGTGTGTTTTTCAGATGACATATATCAGGTTAAAGAAGTTCCCTTCTACTCCTAGCTGTTGAATGTTTTTTTTGCATTTTGTTGTATGCTTTTCCTGCCTCCATTGAGATGATCATGTGGTCTTTGCCCGTTATTCTATTAATATGGCATATTGATTGGATTAAAAGGATATTGGCCAGTGGGGTTTTCTGTTGTTGTATCTTTGTCTCATTTTGGTATTAGAGTAACACTGGCATTATATAATGAATGGGGAAATGTACCCTTCTATTTTTTGGAAGAGTTTGTGATGGATTGGTATTAATTCTTTTTTAAACATTTGATAGAGTTCAACAGTGAAGACTGGGCTTATCTTTGTAGGAAGATTTTAAGTCACTAATTCAACTTACTTGTCATAGGTCTATCAGATTTTCTATTTTTTTCTTGAGTCAGTTTTGGTAGTTTATTATATCTTTCTAGGAATTTGTCCATTTCATCTAGGTTATTTAATTTACTGGCACACAATTGTTCAAAAGTACTCCCTGACAGTCCTTTTTATTTCTGTACGGTCAGTAGTGATTTCCCCTTTAACTTCTTAGTAATTTGAATCTTCTTTTTTTCTTGTTCAGTCTAAAGATTTGTCAATTTTGTTGAACTTTACAAAGAACCAACTTTTGATTTCATTAATTTTTTTCCTATTGTTTTTCTTCTCTATTTCATTTATTTTTCTCTCTAATCTTTTTTTCTTCATTCTGCTTGCTTTTTGTTTGCTCTTCTTTTTTGTCTTGTTTAGGTAAGCAATGCATGCACATTGCACAAATTCAAGATGACCCAAGGTTTTTGTAAGGAAACTAATTTCCTGTAAAAATATTTGCTGCCCCTTTCCTTTACTTTGGATTTGCTTCAACATAATCCAGTGAGGGGAGGGGCAGATGTATATATGAATGTAAAATAAAACAAAAGTGGCCATGAGTTGATGATCATTACAGTTGTGTGAAGGGAACATCAGGTTCATTTTACTATTTTTACTTTGTATATGTTTAAAACTTTCCATAATAAAAAACTGGAAATATATATATCATAGGCTTATCAGTCAAGGTCCATTCAGGTTGCAGAAAACACCAGTTATTTGAACAGAGAGAACTAACAAAGTGTTGGTAACTGAATACAAAGTTAACTGTTAAAGGGTAAAAAGAGAACTCTAAGGTGTCATAGAGGTTAACGAATAGCAGTTACCTTGAAGAAACAAAGGGAAAACCTTAGAAACCTAGAGGAAGGGCCCTGTGAAGCTAGGAAGAACTCAAACCTCTAAGGAAGGAGCTGGCTGGTTGCTCGTGAAGGGGGAGGGAGCAATGAGGCTGGCTTCACAAATGTTGGAAAAGCTGATTTAGCTGCTCCTACCAAAGGAACTGCTGCTGCCAGAGTAAAGAAGCATTGGCTGGGTGATGATCCTCGGAGGGACAGAAAGCACACAGAAAGGAAAAAGTCCCTTCTCCCTCCTCCACTCTTGGAGTTTCCCTCTAGTGCTCCCTACTGGCAAAGCTTAGCAGGGAAGCAGAAGGCAAAGCAGAAATGTTTGCAGAGTCCCAGCCTCAGAATCACAAAGCTGAATGTAGGTAGGTGGATACTGCATCCTGATTGACCTCATTAGAACCTGGCAGGTTCTGGCTCATGGAAATAGCTGCCCAGCCACTGGGATCTGGCATTAACCTCCAGAGATTTTTTTCTTTTTCATATTTATTTATTTTTGGCGGCACCGGGTCTTAGTTGAGGCACAATGGATCTTCGCTGCAGCATGCGGACTTTCTTAGTTGCGGCGTGCGGACTCTTTAGTTGCAGCATGCATGTGGGATCTAGTTCCCCAACCAGGGATTGAACCTGGGCTCCCTGCAATGGGAGCTCAGAGTCTTACCCACTGGACCACCAGGGAAGAGCAGGGATGTTTTAAAAAATAAAAAGAATTTGTCCTTTACTAGACTGACTAGAAGAAAATTTCTGTCTCTTAAAGGCTTTATAATATTTAGGGGGAGTACTGCAGTGTTAAAGGGAAATTTAAAACTGAACACAGGGATTAAAAACTCCTGGAATCAGGGCTTCCCTGGTGGCGCAGTGGTTGAGAGTCTGCCTGCCAATGCTGGGGACGCGGGTTCATGCCCCGGTCTGGGAAGATCCCACATGCCGCAGAGCGGCTGGGCCCGTGAGCCATGGCCGCTGAGCCTGCGCGTCCAGAGCCTGCGCTCCGCAACGGGAGAGGCCACAACAGTGAGAGGCCCGTGCACCGCAAAAACTAGGTAATCATTAAGGCTCTCCTCTCTAAAGGCTGAAATACTTCTACTATACTGACAACACTGGCTGCCTATGCATAGGTAAAATGGATAATTGGAGAAGGTCTTTTCACTGTTCAGCCTTTGTACCTTTAAATTTTTGTACATGTGAATATACTGCCCTATCAAAAAGTGACTAAATTTTTGCAGAGAAAAGCCATCGTCTTAGATCAGGCTTCCCAGCAGACTCTAATTGCCTTCAAGAAGTTTACTGTGATTCCAGTAAACATTGGCAACATTGGCAACATTACTATAAGAAAATGAAGGAAGCAGGATTAAGTAGAGGGAGAAGTTGAACTGCCATACAGTTCAAGCACTGGTGTTAATCACATAGAAAATTCTGGAGCTGGAACAGCCCTTCAGAGTTGTCCCAAATTAAGGCAAAGCAGCTGTGCAGTTATCCCACTTCCACCAGTCGTTGGAAGTAGGCTGCCCGCTGAAAAGGGGTTAACCTTGGGTGATGCAGCTCCTTCTGGCTGAGTACAATTCCTGGGAAGAGACTACCGGGCAATGATCGGTCAACACTCTCAGGAGGTGAAGGAATAAGTGCCTCCGTTTTGAAAAGGGCTTTGGAACTCTGTACCATAGCTTATACTATACTATATACTATATATATTATATGTACTATACTGGTGGTTCTCACATTTTAGTGTGCACCAGAATCCCCTGCAGGGCTTGATGAGCCCCACCCCACTTTCTGATTCAGTAGGTGTGGCTGGGGGTCAGAATCTGCATTTCTAACAAGTTCTAGGTGGTGCTGATGCTGCTGCCTAGGGACCACACTACGAGAACAATTCCACTGTATCTTACTGGGTTGAATCCAGCAAAGCTGAATCATTTGTTAATGTTTAGTATTTATAATTTATAGATGCTAGTACCTAAGATTCTCTGGTTAGATGTGCTCCTTATGAGCTCATGCTGCCTTCTTTGCAACCCTAGTTCACTGTAAATTAGACTTTATTCACTAACACACTTGCTTTATAAAATAGTTAATAGGCAGTTTTTCTGTTTACAGATGCCAGAAAACTTCCATCCATTTTCCTTCAGTCTGTGGGCTTCAATATATTTCATTCATCTCTAAACAAGATGTATAAATCACTAAAGGGATTACTATTGTCTGTGATGAGAACCAGTTTCTGTCAATCTGACTCCATTTTCATCAAAATTTGAATCAATGACACGAAGGCTAAGGGGTAGAGAGTGGCAAGTGAGAAAATGAATTTCCTGTTAAGGAAAGAAGTTAACATTTATTGGGTATTTATTACACGCTAGGTACAGTGCTAAATACTTTCTCATACATTATTGAATTAGTGCTCGGTCACAACCTGTAAAATAAGTATTGCTATTTTCAGTTTTACAAATGACAAAATAGATAATATTAAATCCCTCACCCTGATCACACAACTAGTAAGTAAAGGAGTCTGGATTCAAACTCAAGTCTTTCCACAGACCACACTGCCTACCTAAGTGGCCTAAACATGAGTTAGTATTCTTTCTTTTCATTAGCCAAGTGACATTTTCATGGTACTAGGTACTGTACCAAGCAAACAATGACAACCTAAAAAAAGAGTTCTGTGCGCCAAGGGAGACCAACACAATTCAGCATGACAAGGACTGATGACAGTAGAATACACTGGGTCATACAGGGCACTTAATCCAAATCAGGGGTGTCAAGGAAGACATGCTGAAGAAAGTGATGTCTGGGGTGGCCCTTGAAAGATAATTAAAAGTTAGCCAGGGAGAAGCTGAGACTGAGGACTGTTTCAAGCAAAGGCATGTGCAAAGGCAAGATGGAGTTTCAGGGGTGGTAGGGAGAAGCAACAAAACATAAGATGAGCAGGGGCCAGAAAAAGGTAGGGCTTTCTACGCCATGCTAAGGGTTTGAATTTTGTTCTCAAGTCAGTGAGGTTAAAGGAAGATATACTAAGATTTGTATTTTAGAAAGAGTGGAGGGTGCAATGAAGGAGGAAGAGAATAGGACATTAGTTAACAGGTTTTTGCACTGATCCAGGAGAAAAATGACAAAGGCTAAACTGAATCAGTGGCAATACACACAGCAAATAAAAAAAGCCAGATTTGATATTCAGGAAGTAGAGGGATCTGGTCAGAATTACAGCAGCCAAACTAGCCTGCTTTAAGTCCCTTCACAAGGGACAAGTCTTTCTCACTTCAAGAGCCTTTATACTTGCTCTTTCTTCGTGGAACACTGCTAAATTACACCCTTTCTAAATTCCATTTACTCTGCTTCTCTCAAAGCACTGTTTCTTCCCTTCCATGCACTTGCATTTCTTGTAATTCACACATTTGCCTGTTTACTTCTGTAACATCTGACCCCTGCTGTCAAGGACCGTTAGGGCAGGGACAGGTCTATTTTGCCAACCCCTGAATCCCCAATACCCAGCACAGCGCCTCCAAACAGTGCCAACAAATCACTCGGTGACTGTTTGACGGTGAACTCACACGTGGATGCCTTGGCAGACGTGTAATGCCAGTCACTCAGGCCAGAAACAGGAAAGGAGGGGCAGCAATTAACAATGGCTACTGATTACTGAATTAACTCCTAACTCTTCCACGTACTTGTCAGGTTTTCCATTCATCTGGGCACACTGCTCTCTGCCTCCACCTTGAAAGGCCCCTCCTTCCTCACGCTCGTCTACACCTTCACTCGCATTTTTCCAAACTCTTACTTAGAAGCTCAGCCCCTTCCTCTCCTCGAACTCAAGTTACATTTCCTTAAAGACTCAGGGTCCCCCGTGTCAGACGAAAGAGAAATCTCACTTTGGGACAGCATCTGCCCACCTGGTGATACTTCTGAAATGCCCGCCTGGGGAAATCCCGCCAGAACCAAATCTCCGCGGGGACGGACGGCTCCGCGCACCCGGAACGCTGCCCGGCGCGGTCAGTGCAGACAACTGTGAAAAGAAGCAAAGGTTTCAAACTGCAGCGGGTGAGAACTGGCCCCGAGCCCGGGCCTGGGCCCCGGCGACCGCGGGCTGTGCCGTCCCGGGGACAACCGGGCCCGCACGTCGCCTGGGGAGCGGGGAGGGCAGCCGGGGGGAGCGGCCATGGGCAGACAAGCCCTCCTTCGCGCCCTTCCCTCAATTTCGCAGCGGGAGCGGGGACGCCGACCCCATTTCCGAGTTTCTTTCCTTTAGGTTGGGCGGCTAACCTAACGCCAGCGGGAAGGCGCTGAGGAGAAGGGCTGCCAGGCCTGGAAACAGTGCCCGCCGCGGAGGGAGTTCCCGCTAGCACGAAGAAACCCTCGGAATCTGTGAAAAGCAGCCAGCAGAAGCAACGACAGCAACCCTTTCCTTCCCAAACAGGTCTCAGCAACCTCAGAGCCGATGCTGAGAAAGGGCGGGAAAGCCAAAGCCACCACCAATTTTTCCACCTATTGGCTAATCCCGCTGTCTTTCCCGCAGGCCCGCCTTCCTTGCTCGCGGGCGATGTTCTTACTGGCTGACTTCCGCCAGCTCTCCGCTCTCATTGGTCAGTGTCTCCGTTCGTCAGGCTCGGGCCTTGGAGACAGGCGGAGAGTGGTGTTTGGCTCCGCCCCCGGTCGCGCACAGGCGCGTCTGTGTTGGGGTCGGAGGCTCCGCCTCCGCGTGCCGTGTGCAAAAACAAACAGCCGTTAGGGAGGAGGTGCTGGGGGCGGGGTTTGGTTAGAAGGAGGCGCGCAATTGGGCGGTCGCCGGGGTTCAAACGAGCAAGGCGAGCGGGCATTGGCTGGGGTGGTGCGAGGCGGGCCCCGGTTATTGTCCGGACTCCGGCGGCGGCGGTGGCGGCGGCGGTGGTCGGTGCTGCGCGAGCGGTGGCGGCGGTGGCTCGGCGGGACCGAGGGCGGGAGCGGCCGAGACCATGGTGAAGTCTGCGGGGCGGCCGGGTGGGTGGCGATGGCCGGGCGGCGCCGCTACCTGTTGAGGCGGCGGGCGTCAGGCGGGCGGGCGTCAGGCGACTACGACGGCTGGGCTGGCGTCAGGCGGCGGGGCTCCCCGCGGTCCCGGCCTCGCCCGCCGCGGCGCCGGCGCGAACTGAGTGCGCGGGCCGAGGCCGATGGCCCTGAGCGGGACAACCCTGGCTCTCTGCAGCACCTCCGCTGCCCCTGCCACCGACTTTGACTCCTGAATTGTGCGTCGGTTAAAAAAAAAAAAAAAAGTGCGGTTTTTAGAAACGCGAGTGGAGGGAACTTGGCCCCTTGTGAAGTTGAGAGGGAAAGGCGCTGGAAGGTGGTCGTGCCCCGCGCGGGAGCGAAGCAGCGACGCCGAGGCGACGAGCAGTGTCCGCCCGAGCGCCCTACGGAGACAGCCTTGCCCGGGGCTGAACCACAAACAGAAATTGTGGTTATTGTGACGTTCTCGCGTCTTAGATCTGGCTTCGACCTTATGGATGGTCGCACCCCGTTTCTGACTTGTAGTTGTGCAGTTAACGGAAGCGCTTCCGCCGGCCGACTCAGGCACAGATTAGATCTGTCTGTAAACTGATTTGCTCAAGCGGATGATTCTCCTGGTCCTTGCTGGTTTCGAAGGTGTCACTCATTTAATTTCTAGCGACCTGCCACATATTGGCTGTCCCTTTTACCAGCAGCTAAAAATACATGCACGGTCGCATAAGCTAAAAATACAGGAGGCGTGGAGTTGTCATTCTTGTTTTGAGAATTTTAAACTTGAGGGGACGTGAGCATGTATCTGTTGAACTAGTATGCAAGTTTCTTGGCATCCAGTTTTCAACTTTTCCTGACTGAAATACACTCCAGCTGGCTCCATAGGTGTATTTTCTACCGAGATGCTTAACCCAGGTTAATACTAACACAGTTCTTAGAATCAAAAATTTTATGGTGCTTGTATGTTGTTTCTCAATCAGTCATCAGACATATTAAAATGAATGTGTGAAGTTGGAGGGTGTACATACAGAGTTTGAGGGGGTTGTGAAAAATTTATTTACTGTACAATTTTTTTTTTTTACTGTACAATTTTATATTCGCACAAGTTTGATTCCATAAGACTTTGTTTTTGTTAAGTATGAGAAATGTATCCGGAAACCACGGAAATAGTCATTTAACTTAGAGATTTTTTTTAAAATATTTATTTATTTATTTTTGGCTGCGTTGGGTCTTCGTTACTGTGCGCAGGCTTTCTCTAGTTGCGGCGAGCGGGGGCTACTCTTTGTTGCGGTGCTCGGGCTCTAGGCACGCGGGCTTCAGTAGTTGTGGCATGTGGGCTCGGTAGTTGTGGCGCACGGGCTTAGTTGCTCCGTGGTATGTGGGATCTTCCCGGACCAGGGCTCAAACCCGTGTCCCCTGCATTGGCAGGCGGATTCTTAACCACTGCACCACCAGGGAAGTCCTAACACTGAGATTTAAAAAAAAACTGATTTCATGTCTACTTCCTTAAAAAGCAAATAGGTTAAATAGCAAGTATGATGGATTTGAAGTGATAAAATTGCTTAAGAGCAGTAAATTGGGAAGCCTGGGAAGTTTTGCAGTTGGTAATTTTTTTTGGTTTGTTGTTTTTGTTTTTTGGGTTTTTTTGCGGTACGCCGGCCTCTCACTGCTGTGGCCTCTCCCGTTGCGGAGCACAGGCTCCGGACGCGCAGGCTCAGCGGCTATGGCTCACGGGCCCAGCCGCTCCGCGGCATGTGGGATCTTCCCGGACTGGGGCACGAACCCATGTCCCCTGCATCGGCAGGCGGACTGTCAACCACTGCGCCACCAGGGAAGCCCTGCAATTGGTAGTTTTTAATGGATAACTACTAATTTCATAATTGTCGTAGAGAGTGATTATAGTTTTAGACTCATGCACCAACTGAGAGGTTTTTTTAATGTATTTACAGCAGGGCAAATAGAGCTGAAAAGATTTATTTGAAGAAGTGAGAATATATGGCTACTCCCCCATATGGTTTTGGGAGATAAACATGGGGGGGGATTTTTAGCCTAAAAAGTATTTTAAGGAAACCATTACAAAGGGACAAAGGGAATATGCCATTTCAAAGCTTAACCTCTGCTTCAAAAACATCCTCAAACAACTAGCCAATCATGTAAACTGATTTATTTAACTAATTTTTCTTTTAACAGAGAAGAAATAATAGATTTAAGTAGTAAAATCAAACAGCCCAAAAGAGAATATTGGTTTCCCTCTCAAGTCAGATCCTTAGTATTCCATCCCTAGAGACAAATAACTTTTCTGACGTATTGTGTGACCTTCTAGAAATGTATATGTACACACACTCTACAGTACTCCACTTTATGTAAACAAAAGCTCACTGCACTTGCATATACCTTGCCTTTTACACAAGTATGTTTTGTGAGTTGTTCCTTATCAGCACATATCTGTAACTCATTTGTTGAAAGGGCTGCATAATATCCCATTGCATTTATATACTGTGTCCTGTTTGTGACCATTCATGTTATTTGAGAAATATTTCTTTATCAGTTGAAAGTAGTATTTGTTTAATCCCTTAAGAATAAGTTTGTATGTCCCTTTTTTTTTTTGTAAAATACACATAACAGTTGACCATTTTGCCATTTTTCAGTGTACTGCCAGTTATCTCCAGAACTTTTTTATCTTCCCAAATTGAAACTCTGTACCCATTAAATAGTAACTCTCCATTCTGCCCCTTTCCCCAGCCTCTGGTGACCACCATTCTGCTTTTTGTTCCTATGAGTTTGACTAGGTACCTCATGTAAGTGGAATCATACATATTTGTCCTTTTGCTTATTTCACTTAGCATAATGTCTTCAAGGTTTACCCATGTTGTAGCATGTATCAGAATTTCCTTCCTTTTTACAGCTGAATACTATTCTATTGTGTGTATATACCACGATTTTGTTTATTCATTTTTCTGTGGTAGACATTTAGGTTGTTTCTGCTTTTTACCTATTGTTTATAATACTGATATAAACAAAATAGCAAATAGTATAGAAAATATCTGTTTGAGTCCCTGTTCCCAATTCCTTAGGTATGTGCCCAGAAGTGTAATTGCTAGATCATAGTTTAATTTTTTTTTAAGATGCTTTTTTTTCTCCCCATAGAGCTAAGTTCTGAATATTTCTGTGGAAATGATACACACTGACATTTTTTAAATTATTTTATTATGAAATACTTATAGCATGAGAGTTATATTGACTTGATGAAGATTCTTCAGTCTGAAAAATATGTTCAAATTTTTAGAAATCTCATTTTTAAAAAGTATTTAAGGTTTGACCTTGTTTCTATATAAATTAATAAATAGTGGACTTCCCTGATGGTCCAGTGGTTAAGACTCTCCGCTTCCACTGCAGAGGGTGCAGGTTCAATCCCTGGTCGAGGAAGTTCCACATGCCGCAGGGTGCAGCCAAAAAAAAAAAATGGACATCACCAGTTGTGGGACAAATAAAATTATTTAAAAATAAAATAAATGGAGATATAACACATGTATATTTAAAATTGAAGATCACCTAGATTTTTTTAACTACCTAAAGTAAAACTAGAAGAAATTTTATTTCCTAAGTTTAATTTTTTTTTAAATTTTTATTGGGGTATAGTTGATTTACAATGTTGTGTTAGTTTCAGGTGTACAGCAAAGTGAATCTGCTATACATATACATATATCCACTCTTTTTTAGATTGTTTTCCCATATAGGCCATTACAGCGTATTGAGTAGAGTTTTCTGTGCTATATAGTAGGTCCTTATTAGTTCTCTGTTTTATATACAATAGTGTGTATATGTCAATCCCAATCCTCCAATTTATCCCTCCCCCCGCCTTACCCCCTGGGACCATAAGTTTATTTTCTACATCTGTAACTGTACTTCTGTTTTGTAGGTAAGTTTATTTGTAGTCCTAAATAGTTTTGAAATAGCATTTTCGATTCTTCATCTGGAACTCTTTTCCACCTAGGCTGGAGGCAAAGCTGGAAAGGACAGTGGGAAGGCCAAGGCTAAGGCAGTGTCTCGCTCACAGAGAGCCGGGTTACAGGTAACATCCATGCTGTTGTAATTCATTATTTTCTTTACTGTTATAATTCGTGACTCATAGGTGTTTCTTTAATTACAAAAGTGTACTTGTACTACTGGCCTTTGATAATGAGATTAATTGGTCAAAATATAAACCACAAAGCAACTGCCTTATTTATTTATTTGTTTGTTTGGCTGCGCCAGGTCTTAGTTGCGGCACACGGGATCTTTTTTAGTTGTGGTATGCAAACTCTTAGTTGCGGCATGTGGGATCCAGTTCCCTGACGAAGGATTGAACCCGGGCCCCCTGCATTGAGAGTGCAGAGCCTTAGCCACTGGACCACCACGGCAGTCCTGCAACTCCCTTGTATATAATTTGTATTCTCTTCTTCTAAACAAGGACAAGTTATGAAAAGATCTTAAATGAATTTGGTGATTTTGCTCTCTTAAAATCTATTATTTCTAGATTATAATTATGTTCCTAGTTCTTTTATAAATTGTATCAGATTGAAGTGAGTATGCTGTGGCTTTTATTTTAAAGAGTGTTTGTCGTGGTACATCGGCTTTCAGGATGAGAGAATAATGAACTGTCCACTAGTCCTGTGAATCTTTCCCCGATACCTTCAAGTGTAGACTCAGTGATATACTCAAAGCCCTAAATGGTTTCAAATTTCGTATATTTAAATTGTTGCAGCTTTAATCCACAAACTCAAAATTTTCTGGATGAGTAAGAATTATTCCCTACATGTAAGAGATACTTTTTAAACAGGAAAGTTTGAAGTCCAGACTATAAGGTTAGGATTTTTATCTTCTTGGCAGTAGTGAGCCATTGAAAGTTTTTGAGGAAGAGGATGACATGATCTGGATGATACTGAAAGAAGGGGGGGCGAGAACTTGTACTTGGTGGGTACGTTCTGTATTTTAGAACATCATGCAAATCTCAATTAGAATTTATTTGAAGTGTCCTTACCTTGAAGTGGGAGATGGAAGACAGATACAGACTATTGCAGTGGTTTAGGAATAAGGTAATAACATACTTGAACTTGAGTAGGATGGAAAAGAATAGAAGGCTTGTGTATGCTCCCCAAAAATGGGAGGAGGGGTATGGGATTGAGAGGACGGTCAAAGAGAAGTTTCTCTAAGGCTTAGACCCTAAGGAGCAGAAGAGTTTGTAGTAGGGGCAAGTTATGAAATAATAAACTTAACTGCAGTCGTTTTGAAGTTCCACCAAAACATCCATATGAAAATGTCCAAAAGTTGTAGATTTGAGTCTAGCTTTCCAAGAGAGGTGATCAAAAGAATTAGAAATTTAAGGTCACTTACGTAAAATTGGCAGCTTGTGCTGTGGATAAGTTTCCTAAGTCGAGCATGAGAAAGGATCAGAAAGGCATTGGTGGACCCCCTACCATATTTGATGTGGTATTTGAGTCAAAGAATGAAAAGACTGAGGAGTAGTCAGAGTTCGTATTAGAACTATGTAATTGCTTCGGCCTAAGAAGAAATGGTTTTGTTTTTTTGTTTGCTTGTTTGTTTTTTTAATAAATTTATTTATTTTTGGCTGTGTTGGGTCTTCGTTTCTGTGCGAGGGCTTTCTCCAGTTGCGGCAAGCGGGGGCCACTCTTCATCGCGGTGCGCGGGCCTCTCACTGTCGCGGCCTCTCCCGTTGCGGAGCACAGGCTCCAGACGCGCAGACTCAGTAGTTGTGGTGCACGGGCCTAGCCGCTCCGCGACATGTGGGATCTTCCCGGACTGGGGCTCGAACCCATGTCCCCTGCATTGGCAGGCGGATTCTTAACCACTGCGCCACCAGGGAAGCCCAGAAGAAATGGTTTTTGGGGTCCTCTGTGTCAGACGACGTAACATGCGGTTACTGAGGATGCAGAAGGGAGTAAGACATGGATCCTGGTCTCGGGGAGCTTAGAATTAGGGAAGGATGTAAACAAAACAGTCATGCCTCTTCTCTTTAAGGATGCAATCTGGAAGTAGATTTTGCTGGCTAGTAGATTTTAGTAGTTAAAATGTTACTGCTCGTCTTTCAGAATGGTGTTTAACAGAAGCCAGGGTTGGATTGGGAGAAAATGGGTGACAAGAAAGGGGTTTCAGGGTTTGCTTTTAAATCTTGCCTTTGGAAAGGAGATGTCTAGACTGTAACTGGAGGCAGTTGCTGTAGACACGTGGAGACATTTTAAGTGAAGTGTGCAGAAGGAAAGGAGCCAGCGAAAAGGAAGCAATTGGAGCTGTTGAATGATGGAGCAGTAACGGGGTAAGGAAGGTCCTTAAGAAAGTTAGGAGTGGGGTTAGTCAAAGGCACAGACAAGTGGGATTAGGGAACTTTGGAGGTGAGAAAGTGCCTGTTCTCAGAAAGTAGAAAGAAAGGGTCACAATGGGAGAATGGTGTTGGTTTTGAGTTCATGCTTTACTCATATTATTCAGCCTTTGATTACATTCAGTAGTGTGATGTTAAGACTTCAGTGCTTCCCATTTGGGTGGTCTCTTTCAGTTTCCTGTGGGCCGCATCCACAGACATTTGAAGACTCGTACCACAAGTCACGGAAGGGTCGGTGCCACTGCTGCAGTGTACAGTGCCGCAATTCTGGAGTACCTCACTGCTGAGGTTAGTGGGGGAAATGTTATATATGGGAATCCTGGAGGTGTCTTGGACATAAATGGCTAAAACCCATGGAATATTGGTTTGAAATAAAAAAGACAAACTCTTGTTAGTTTCTTTTAATAGCGGTTTTAGATGTATCTTATCAGCCTATTACCTAGTACCAGTGTCAAATAGAACTTTGGTGTGCTCTTTTTTAAAGTTAAGTAAGGGTCAATAATCCATATTTTTAAGTGACGTGACAAGTGTAAAATAATTTAAATACCATACTACTAATTAAATGAACTCTGAAATACGTATATAATCGATAGGTGATATTTGTGAAGTTACAGCATAACTTTTTTTTTTTTACAGCATAACCCTTTTTTTTATTTTTATTTTTATTTTTGCGGTACACGGGCCTCTCACTGTTGTGGCCTCTCCCTCTGCGGAGCACAGGCTCCGGACGCGCAGGCTCAGCGGCCATGGCTAACGGGCCCAGCCGTTCCGCAGCATGTGGGATCTTCCCGGACCGGGGCACGAACCCGTGTCCCCTGCATCGGCAGGCAGACTCTCAACCGCTGCGCCACCAGGGAAGCCCCAGCATAACTCTTAGTTAATAAAGATTTGAGGTGGGGTGAAGTCTTGGCAGTGTGATGATACATATTTTTTAAATATCACAACTATATTATGATAACAAAATTTGGTAAAAGACCTAAGCAACCTTCTGGTTCTGTGCATGGTTGTATGCATAAAATGCTGTATCTTACTCAGTTTGACTTTTCAGGAAGATAAGTTAATTGGGCAAGAGTTCTTAATTCTTAGGTCATGGACTACTACTTCCTCCATTCTAATCCCTCCTAAGGAAAACAAAAGGGAAGCCATGAAACTCCTTCAACTACATTCCAAGCAGGGGAAGTAAGTTGAGTAACAAGCAAGTCAACTGATAGAGATAGCCAACCTAATAGAAATGGGGAAGCTTCCTACTTGAGAAAGATGTGGTTGGGAGCCAGGTTGAAAGATTTAGCTTTAACCTGTGTGTTAATTATCACTGCTGTCATTTCGTTAACCTTACCAAGTCATTTATTTTCCTATTGGAGATTTAACATTGATAGTTTCAACTTCACTATGTCACAAGCAGGGATTTTGTGTTGGTAATGTTTTTGTATTGGTACTAGTTAAGAGCCTTTCTGCTTTATCACTCTTATACCAGTTTTTATTTGTTTACCTGCAGACTTTTCAGAAAGGTATGCATTTTGTGCACTCATGTAGAGGCATAGGCTTCTGGTTCAGATTTTCAAGTCCCATCTAAACTCCCATTATCTATATTCTTAGGAACTTTATGATTTTTTAGTTTAAGATTAAATAATAATCATATACATACACACATATGCAGTCAATGTGTATTTTCCAAATATTTAATTTTGGGGTTTTAGTCAATAATAGAGGTAAAGAAAATACTGAAATCTAAGTTTAGGGGTAATCACTTTTCAACGTTGGCTTCACACTAGGATCACTTATGAAGCTTTCAAAAGATACTGGTGCCAGGCCTCACCCCAGACCAGTGAAGGTTGCAAGGGAGAATGGAGTAGAGAGTACTGGTGGTTTTTAAAGCACACTGATTGCTTCAGATGTACACCAAGGCTTCCCACCACTCTGTTTAAGTGAGGAGGTTCTGTGGAGTTATTTTTGTGTTACTTCCATCAAAGGTTTTATAATGCCAGTACAGTCTATGGAGGCAAAAAAGAAAAGAAAAGAAAAATGCAATTTTATGGCCAACTGGGACTTTGAAATTCCTCTAGTTGAAAATTGCCCTTATAGAATAAAGGGCTTCTAGCTTATTCCCTACAGATTATAGGGCCCAGTGATGTTAAAAACTCTGAATAAGAAATTATTTTAAATTATATTTTTAAATTGTTCTACAAGTGCTAAGCAATAAATTTCAGCTGTTAAGGGCCATGAAAAAATAGACTACATGGGTATATTAAAATATATTTCTAGATGTTCACATTTATTGAATAGATTCTTGGCTAAGGGATATTATCTCTTGTCCTTTTTCTTTCTACAGAAGTAGATTTTTGCTCAAGTTTCTAGTTCTCTTGCAGAGAATGAATATAAAAGGACCAAATGGGGCTTCCCTGGTGGCGCAGCGGTTGAGAGTCTGCCTGCCAATGCAGGGGACACGGGTTCATGCCCTGGTCCGGGAAGATCCCACATGCCGTGGAGCAGCTAGGACCGTGAGCCATGGCCACTGAGCCTGCACGTCCGGAGCCTGTGCTCCGCAACGGGAGAGGGCACAACAGTGAGAGGCCCGCGTACCACCAAAAAAAAAAAAAGAAAAAAAAAAAAAGGACGAAATGGAGTAATAAGAGTTCTATAAAAGCATTATAGAAATTTGGAAAAAATTTAGTGTTGGTTTATATATGTATCTTGTGTGTTTTGTGTGTAGACGCTGTAGTGCTCTTTTTAGCTATAATTGCAGGCCTAAACTGAATCCTTAAACACTTCACCCTTGTTTGATGTGCTGTCTCAACGGATGCTTTGTAGGTGCTGGAGCTGGCAGGTAATGCTTCCAAGGATCTCAAAGTTAAGCGGATCACTCCGCGCCACTTGCAGCTTGCAATCCGTGGTGATGAAGAGTTGGATTCTCTTATCAAGGCTACCATAGCTGGGGGTGGTATGTATTATTTCCTCTTCAGCCTAGATTGTTAACTGGCCTAACTAACAGATAATTCAGATAGATGATCCAGTACATTTGTATCACCAACTAGAGAACATAGAAACTTAAGTTCCAAAAGTGTTAAGTCTGACAATTCTAGACTTCTCATTATGATCTGAATACATATTTCTTCTCCTTGTAGCCATATACAATGCTATTTTTATTTTAGCAAGTTCTTCATCTAAATATCATATGTGAGACTTAAAACCTGGTGTTTAAAATATTTCCCATATCCTTTAAACTGTGTTTGAAAAATGATCGTGAGAAATTGCTTAATATGCTCTTGAAAATCAGAGCTGAGATAATTGAATGAGTCAGGATCAGTGAAGGTGAGATATAAATTGGTGGTTCTTAATACTTTTTGGATCACATTTGGAGAACCTCTTGAAAGCTGTGGTTACTCTCCTCTAAAAAAAAGCACATAAAATCACACCATTTTACATACAGTTTTAGAGGGGGGTTCCCAGACCCCAAGATGGGGACCCCTTGGTATAGATACTTTAACAGAATCAGAATGTGAAAGGGGACTTAAGTAAATTTCATTCTTTTTTAAAAGCCTTTTTGTTTGTTTTTTAAATTAATTAATTACTTTTGGCTGCATTTGGTCTTTGTTGCTGCTTGTGGGCTTTCTCTAGTTGCAGCAAGTGGGGGCTACTCTTCGTTGCAGTGTGCGGGCTTCTCATTGCAGTGGCTTCTCTTGTTGCGGAGCACAGGCTCTAGGCACATAGGCTTCAGTAGTTGTGGCACGTGGGCTCAGTAGTTGTGGCTCGCAGGCTCTAGAGTGCAGACTCAGTAGTTGTGGTGCATGGGCTTAGTTGCTCTGCGGCATGTGGGATCTTCCCGGATCAGGGCTTGAACCCATGTCCCCTGCATTGGCAGGCGGATGCTTAACCACTGTGCCACCAGGGAGGTCCTCATTCTTTATATAATTGCTTTTTGGGGTTGAAGCCCTAAAGTGGTAAGATATAGCCAGTTTAGGGACTTCCCTGGCAGTCCAGTGGTTAAGACTCCATGCTTCCAGGGGGCATGGGTTCAGTCCCTGCTTGGGGAACTCAAGATCCCACATGCCTCTCAGTGCAGCCAAAAAAAAAAAAAAAAGATATAGCCAGCTTAAAGTTTTTCTACTAATACTGTTTCTTTTCATTTCATTCTAGGTGTGATCCCTCACATCCACAAGTCTCTGATTGGAAAGAAGGGACAGCAGAAAACTGCTTAGAGAGTTGTTCTAACCAACCTTCTTCCTCCCCGTCATTGTACTGTAACTGGGACAGAAGAAATAATGGGGATATGTGGAATTTTTAAAACAGTTAAGTGGAAAAGCATAGACAATTACTGTAGATATGAAAAAGAAACATTTGTATGTTCTTAGACTCGAAGTTTGATAAAAATATCTTTTCATGTGGCAACAGTTGTGTGTTGATTGGCTAGGTTTCTCCCATGTGTTTTATACAAAAATGGAATTGATAAACCATTTTTTAAAAAAGTAATTTGTCTCTAAACCGTTCTGTTTGTGCTGTGTTGAAAATATTTTGCTCATACTTCAAAATTTTTTAAATTTCAAATTGGTTATATATTCAGAAAAATCTTAAAACAGAAATTGGGAATCTACTTCGATCATAATTGATACCATATTATATTGAATCTTGGCTGCTACCTGTTAGTAGTAGGCACCAATTATTTTACATACCACTAAAGAAAAAAACTGCCAATTAAACCATAATATGCCATCAATTATGAGATGCATCCCAATTTCAGAGATGTTAGAATATGAAAACATGCATTTAGAACTGATGAAGGATAGTGGAATTATTTGAATTATTTAATGAGCACTTACTATGTGGCAAGCCCTGTGCTAAGCGCTTTATTGATGAAGAAATTTTATTACCCCCATTTTAAAGATGTAGAACCTGAGGCTCACAGAAGTTAAATGGCTTGCCAGAAAACATTTATCTAATAGATAGAAAAGGGCAGAACTAGGATATAAACCTAGATTTGGCTGACTGCAGAGCCCACACCCTTACCTAGAATTGAAGTTAAGATGATCAAAGTTGTCTGCTTTTGGCTTAAAATTCCAGCTTTTAGTGATCTTTTATTGATACAGTAACATTCAGTAATTTGTACAATATTTTAAAAATTATTTTTGTTTGTCAGTTTCTAAGTAACTTGTAAGATTTAAGTTAATGTATCAGTTAACGGTCCATCAGAAAATTATATTTTTCTGGAAGTCTGGAAGTCTTCATTAAAAATGGAAATTCTTTAATGTTTTATAATACAACAGTATCAAAACAAAACTCTCATTTTTAAGAACTTATTTTATTATGGAAATTTTCAAAAATAAAGAGAATAGTATAATGAACCCCTGTGTACTCATCCTGCAACTTCAGCAGTTATCCTGTGGTCAGTTTTGTTTTACTTGTATCCCCAACCTGAACCCTCATCCCAGTTGATTGGTTTGAATCCCATTCCAGGCATGATTTATTTTCATGTCCACATACTTAAGCATGTGTCTCTAAAGATGGGGTACTTTTTAGACCATAACCACAATACCATTGTCTTAAGACAGCTAACACATTTTATAATAACAAATACCCAGTCAGTATTCAGATTTCTCTGATTGTTTCATAATTTTACGGTTGGTTTGTTTGAATCAGGATCGAGACACTATGTCTTACATTTTACTGATAGCTCTTAAATTTCTTTTTAATCTGTAGGTTTCTTTTTTATTATTATAATTTTTGAAGAAACTGAGTTGTTTGTCCTACAGGATTGTCTCTAAGTGTGGATTTTACTGAATCTTGGCACATATTTTGAAGAAGATTCTATATTGAAAGGATCTACGATTATCCATGTGTGAAGTTTTAGTAGTTTTTAGAAACCAAAGAAGCAATAGAAAAGAAGGCAAAATAACCTATCAGAGAATAGGGTCTTTTACTAGAGTTTTCTAGATAATTGCTTCAAATATCTGTTTCCTTTTGGTAGTGTAATTATTTGTTTCCTACTGTGTTCCCAGGATTGTATTTTTGTTTTCTGATGGAAAAAAAATAGAACAACTGGGCCATGTGCTCTGGGGCCTCACCCCCACATTTGGTCCATCTTGCTTCACCTATACACCCCTTCCTCCCACTGGCTTTTTTTAAAGCATGTCCCAGCCATCATATTGCACCTGTAATACTTTAATAAGTAACTCTAAAAGAAAGCTTTAAAAAGAAGGCTTTTTATATTATATTATATATATATTATATATATAATATATATAATATATATTATATATACTCTATATATA